GGGTCGGCCTTTTTGGGTGGGGGAGGGTCGGCCTTGGGAGGCGGTGGGTCGGCCTTTTTCGGTGGCGGAGGGTCGGCCTTGGGAGGCGGTGGGTCGGCCTTTTTCGGTGGCGGAGGGTCGGCCTTGGGCGGTGGTGGGTCGGCTTTTTTAGGGGGAGGAGGGTCAGGCTTAGCCGGGGGAGGAGGATCGGCTTTTTTGGGCGGAGGAGGATCGGGCTTTTTGGGCGGAGGAGGATCGGCGGGCTTGATTTCAATGCTCTTAATAACACCACAGCCCTTACAACAAATTTTATCTCTAAGCTTCTCAGGATTACAGCAAACCACTTTGATAATCACAAGATTCTGTTTCTCATCATAAATCTGGTCTCGAATTTCTGGCGTTCAAAGAATCAAAATCAATTTGGAAAAACAGAGTAAAGAACAGAAGAACAGTAGAAATGGAGAAAGAACTGACGAGGAAATTTGCAGAGAACTTTTTTCACTTTCTTGTAGCATCGATCACACTGCAAATCCACTTTAAGCATCATAACCACAGTCTTCTGCTAAACAATTAAAGTCACTCAGAATCAGCAAAACAGAGACAAGAAACTCAAAAACCAAACCAAAAACAGAGAGAAATGACCTTGGCGTCCGCCATGGATGAGTTCGTGGATGCTCTGTTTTGGAAAACCGTCGGCTGCAGCACTAAAAAACAGAGAAAAACAGAGGGGGAAAAGGAGGAAATGAAAAGGAAGGGCTATGAATTAGACCCAAATGGCATCTGAATCAGAGGAGAGAGAGAGAGATTGGTAATGGCGATGGTAGTTAGAGGAAAGATTGAGATCCAAACGCGTAACCATATCGTTAGAATGGTCAGATTTGGTATTTTAGAGTTCCTGTAATTAATATCCCTTAATTATAAAATTTATTAAAATATTTAAAAATTTGATGACGGTTCCCCGGCTGAAAGTCTGACGTTGGCTAACTTATGGAATGATCATGCGTTTATAATTAAGGACCGCAAAACCACGAGGCTCAAAGTGGACAATATCATACAATTGTGAAGAGTCGTGTTCATCTAACATGGTATCAGAGTCATGCCCTAAACTTAGTCATGTCAACAGAATCCTCACAGGGCGAACAAAGGACTCCAAAAGAAAAGGAGTAGGCATACTTCGTTCGAGGAGGGAGAGGTGTTGGTGGATGAAAGTCTATGAGGCCCTTAAGCCATGAGGAGCTTATGCTCAAAGTCGAACCGATACTCCATCATCCAACTCTAATACATAAATTGAATTAGATAGAGTAAATTAATTTTAATTAAATATTTAAAACGACGTAAATAAATGTTTTTACGAGCTAAACTTATTAATAATTTCAGCTGATTTAAAAAATACAAAATATTTATTTATAAAACAAAAATTAATATCGGGTCATTTTCATCGATATGGAAGTTTTAAAATTTGCTTCTATCGCAACCATATGCTTCAACTTTCAACTTCGATTTGTCCCACTCATCTTTCCATCCGTTTGTGTCGCATCTGGCTCATTATTAACCAACTAATGGAAAGAAATTTATAAACTTGTAATTGAAGCGACCTTTTAAGGACCATTTTCTTCTTGGATTTCTATGATTTGAATTTAGATTCCATTATATTAAAAAAAAAAAAATAGACTGTTGTTTGGTTCGTGAATTTGTGATTTCTAAAAGTGAGTGACTTAAGATATAAGTTTTCATGAATTATATTATAAGTTTGGTTCGTAAACTTTTGAAACCCTTCAAAAAAAAATTAATAAGTTTTTAATTATACCGTTTTAAATTTAGATTTGCAATCTTTATTAATATTTTAAATTTGTTTAAAAAATATAAAATATCATTATTAACACATATTGACATTAACATTTTTTATTTTTTACCTTAAAAAAATTTAAAAATTTAATGGTAAATACAGGGACAAAAACTGTCTATCTATTTTTCATAAATCATTTCCCTTAAAATTTAATAATACGAATATTGAAAAATTTAGGATACTAATGTTACCGTAACTGAGATGCAGAGTATATTTTAATTTTTTTTAAAAAAAAATAAATTTATTTTTTAAAATGAGCATTTTTTAAAGTTATTTTTCTAATTAAATTATTAATGGTTTGTATCCTTAAATCTTATTAAAATCTTATTAGCGTATTTTTTTAAATCCTATTAAAATTTAAGGGTATTTTTCAAAATGAATTACTACCGGTTTCTTAAAAAAATAGAGTATTTTTAATTTTTTTTTAAAATTAAGCGTAATTATTTGAGAAAAAAATAAATAAAAAGAAAGGTGTATTTAAATTTTAAAACTCAATTAGTTTAAAATTTAATAAAAATATTTATTTAAGAGAAAAAAAAAAAGTCAAAGATAAATTGAATATATGGTATTAAATATTGTAATAAAATAGAATAACGAGGGATGGCCCACGTGGTAGCTGATTAAAAGCACAAACGTTCCTTTCGCCCTAATAATACCCAACTCCCTTTCCTTCTACACTTAGTACATCCTAATCTGTAAAGATTGAAATTGATACCCTAAACGAACGTAATAACAAATAATAAAGAAAGGGAATGGATGTCATAATCCATCCATCACCGAGAGAGAAAAAGACATGAATCATGATACGACCGAAGAAAAATATCATACAAAGAAAGTATTGACAAATCAAATCCTCGTGATCCAAATACAAAGAAGAAGCTAATCATTAGTGAATACTAGCGAGATGGATCCAAAAGAGATGAGCGTATATAAAAGTACACGACAAATGAGATATTATTTCCGAATAGAGTTCTTCACACCTAACTCATAACCACCCAAACAAACTTACGAGCCTCACATTAAGAGTGAGACTAATATAAATAAATTTTGGACCATTAATCTTTAAACGATAAAATCTTTCTCATTAATTTTATTAAGTTAAATAAATAAAAATACTTCAAATTTTTATATTATATGAAATTTTTAATGTTTTAAAAAAATAAAATAGCTTAATTTTTAATAATATCTCAAAAATACTTTTAAATTTTAAAATTTTTTATTAATACCTTTCAAATTTTAAAAAATAAAATAATAATAAAAAACATTTTATTTAAAAATACCCGAAAAATTCTAAAATTAATATTAATATCTTACCCTTAAAAGAGTTCCAAAATGTTTTAAATATGACGAGAAACATTTGCCTATGATTAATAGATTATCTTCCATTTTATTTTTAAAAGTTTAAGGATATTAATGTTATTTTAAAAATTGATAAGGATTTTTTTTTTAAAAATATATATTTTAAATGTTTATTGAGTTTTTTTTTAATTTAAAGATATTTTTTAAACTTTTTCCGATTATAAATAGACACAAATCCAAAATTTATTATATTTATTAGAACAAATTTTAATTTAACACTTAATTCATTAATTATATTTTAATAAATAATAGATGAACACACGCTTCCTTGAAATTATTAGATCTTTGAATTTTTATACGTCACTTATTGTATTAAAAAAAACAATTTTATATATTTAATTCATTATACTAATTATTGTTTAGCTTAAAAAAATATATAAAAAATACTTTTTTTAAGTTTAAAAATTAAACGGATACCATCCAAAATAAGCAATTTAATCAATAATTAAATAATAATTTTCCATATAGATCTAATAATAAATATTTTTTAATGGATGTACGAGTGCAACTGTTCAATCAACTAACTATAAAATACTATTGACTCGATATATTATCATGTCTCTACCTGTGATTCGTCGGGATATAATTTTTTCATTTTTTTTGTTTTCGAGAAAATGTGTCAATATATGAACGAAAATTGTCTATTAGCAATCCATAGATTATCTTCACACTTTTTATTGTTACTTCCGAAATTTCATGAATATTTTTTATGCATGGCGCCAATAGTAAAGATATTTTTGAATTTTATAAAAAATTTAAATGTATTTTTTGAAGATTTTGAAAAGGGTGCTAATGAAATTTTTGAAAACTTAAAGGGTATCTTTGAAATCTTTTGAAAGTTTAAGGGTACTTTTGAAACAGGAGTGTTAACGGTTTTTTTATGATAAAGTTTTTAAAATTTTTTTTTTCTTATATTGACATATAAAATTATCTAGATATATGGATGATATCTATAAAATTAAAAAATAATATATGAATAATTATATTTAAATAAATGAGATAAAGTAAGGTTGTTAATATAAATAATATGAATAAAGAATAAATAATGGGACCAAATCCATAGAAAATAAAAACAGTTATTAATAATAAGTGCATGTCAATGTAAAAGGCCACTAAATGATTATTTAATTAAAAAAGTATTATTATTGGATCATAGTCATACTTTATAAATTATTAAAAAAGATAAAGGCCACTCAATTATTTTTTATCAAACCAATTATCAATCCTTCAATAATAATAATAATAATAATAACATTTTTTAATAAATAAATTTAAGAATATTATTTGATAATTATTGAAGGTTATAATTGAAAATTTTTGACAAAAAGTTATTTATTTATTAAAAAAAATTAAAAAATAGTTTTATTAAAATCAAGCGTATTTATTGTACTGACCTAATTTTTCGAGGTGATTAGGGTTATAATCTTTGAAGTATATTTAATGAAAAATTATCAAATTTTTTTCCAAACAATTAAAATTTATATGGATATAAAGTATGAAAAATTAATTTTAAAAAATATAATAAATTGTAACAATCACGGTAATAATTTCAAAATAGATAGGATAGAGTTAGAGAAAAAAACATACTAGTTTATTATTGATGGTTCTGTCAAACTTGACCTACTTCACTCTTCAAAACTATTGTTGGAGATTTGAACGAACATTTTCTCGACTTTTAACCATCGACAAAACTCTCTATTAGCTATCCAAAGAATTTTTCAAACTTGTAACGTTGTAATCCAAAAACACTGTGAGAAATTTTCGTGAACTTCCATCAACTATCCAAAGAAATATTTGTGTTGAAAAATTATAGGTTTAACATCTTACCAAAAACTCTAACAAGCCTCTACCGGGCGTTTAAGGTCTTTTATCCCTTCATGCCTTCTTGAGAAGAAGCGAATGCCACAAGAATGAGGTCTAATTTGTACGGCATAGAAATAGTTTGGCTTATATAAATCAAGCGATCAATTACTTATAGGACACTCTTGGACGAACGAAAAAATTTCAACAAAGAAATTGTATGTCATACGCATATGTTTCAACCTTAAGATTATATTTATTAAAGCTACCCGAATATATATATATATATATATATATATATATATATATATATATATGTCATATGTGAAATAATATATTTTAATATATAATATTATATGACTATGATATTTAAATATATGAAAAATATATGCTAATTAGAAAATTATATTAATTCTATTAAAAAATAATTAAAATAATGATTATGCTTCACTGAAGCAATCAACCAATTAATTTAAAACATACGGTAATTAAATTAAAAATAAAACAAAAAAAAAAGTTCATTAAACATATTTTAGAATTTGAAAATAAATTAAATTATAATTGAAAACCGTATCATTTGGTGGAGTTGGTTTACATGCGTGACCTAAGATTTTGCTTATAAGTCATATGGTGTCAAATATTTTCGTTTTGTTAGGTACTTCCAATTCCAATTCAACTCATTCGGTACGGTACTCGTAGCTATTGTGATGAACACATATCGTCATCAGTCTCGGGTTATTAAGGTTCTTACATGTAAAACCTTTATTAAAACATGTAAGTCCTAAAGTCTTTTGATGATTACATTTTTTTTTTTTTTTTTTTGTTTTCGTGATATAACTTACATACTTTGACTTGTTAGAGAC